AGATAAACGGGGGCTAACACATCACCTCCTTGTTGGAGGTAACGACAACCAGGACGTGTGGTCACCCTGGTGAACATCATGTTGTCTCCTTAATTTAAAGCACGCTGCAGCAGAGTTTCTATCAGAACAAAGACTCTTCATCACGTTGCATCTGAACACTCGCATTTTTAGACCCGGTGTGATGTGGACTCTTGGAGGATTTCATCATGTCTGCTAATAAACTCCAGAACCAGCCTTAAGATGGTTTCTACATGTTCTTCAATCCAGACGTCTGTAGATATAATCTTGTACTGACAGAACTCTAAGATTTACTGAACATGAACAAGTAAAAGCCAATAAACTGGTTTGAAGTGGGAGCCCAGATCCTGGTGCTGTCCGTCTCCAGCTCCCTGTTAAATGAACGCCGTCTTTGTGTCGCTACAGAGGAACATCCAGCTCTGCTTCTGAACCTGACGAGCTCATTAACCAACACTTTGGCTTTAAAAGCAGCAGAACAAGCAGATGACATGATTCAGCTCCTTCTGTGTCCAGGAAACAGGCTGAGGAGCAGCATGGGCCGGTACCTGCTCCTGTGCAGGTGTGAAGGCAACGACAGGAAGAGTCTGAGGTTTGATTGTAACATCTCAGAGACCAACAAGCGGCTCTGCTGAGCTTCTACAAGCTCCTTAATGCATCTGAAACTAGAGGAACCACTGATGTCTGGAGCCTTAACCTCCTGTTGGTCCTTCTTTTAGGTTTAAATGTTCCTCCTGCAGCTTTTAAAGGTTCAGAAGAGTGTCGACAGGCTGGAAACGTTTCAAACAGACAGGAGGAGGATATTACCATTTTGACAACTCGTTCAACCTTCAAAGCAGTTCGTTTCTCTGAACAAACAAACAGACGTTCATGAAAGACGACAATCAGAAACACGACGACTCGTCTCAGCTTCTGGACCTCTTCAGTGAACCTGCACCGATTCATTCAAACCCTCCAACTGTCCTGTCTGTCTGCTCGCGTTCCTCTAAACTCTGCTTTCATGTCTTTGCAGCTTCTCGATGTCCAGCTGCAGATAACACCATCACTTTATGTATTTAAACACGATCAGTAAGACGTCCTGTGTTCATCATGACCAGCGATGATGAATTTATTCATTATGGAGCTAAAGTTAAAGGTTCTGCAGAGGTTCTGGTCGTTGGTGCAGAATGAGGACAGTCACACTGGTTCCACGTTGATCTCCACTTTTATATTAACATTTGGCTGAAAGGTACATTTGGAAAATACTGTATATGAATGTGTGGATCTGAGATTGTCCCTGAATGACAGCTTTACAGGAAAACAGGATAAAAACAGCCGCTGTGTCCCGTCAGGAGCAACAGGAAATCAGAACCAAAGCGTTCATAAGTTCTCTGAAACACAAAGAAGAAAAAAAACCAAAACCAAAATAAAACAAGTCCAGTGAGCGGATTCATCTGAGACTCACAATCTTTGGAAATATTTATTCACATCGTCTCTCTCCAGCTTTAAAAATATATATGGAGAGAGTGCTGATGCTCCAGGTGTGCTCACAGCCGCCTGGCCTAAAGGAGCAAATTAGACTTTAAATAGAAAAAACTGAACACATGGTGGCTGAGGCTCCTGCTCCGGGCCGGGCGGTGTCAGGAGAACCAGCGGTCCCGGAGGCACCGCAGCAGCGCCGGCTCCTCGTCGTCCGACTCGTCTCCGAAAACTGCAGCGAGACGACAAACACACAAAAACACACTCGTTGTTAAGAGTGAACAGGGTGCATGAAGTAGAACACGTTCTAGCAGGAAACACAGAGGAGAAGAAAGAGAAGAGACAGCTGACGGATCTGCTGAGTTCATGTCGGTTCAGGATGTTTCAGAGGGTTCAGATCATCTGGTCTGTTGAGGCTGAAGGCGGAGTTTTCAGTGTCATGAAGGTTTAACCTGCTCGGTCTCCGTGGTAACGGATGCTGTGGAGCTAGGTCTCCATGGTAACTGATGCTGTGGAGCTAGGTCTCCACAGTAACTGATGCTGTGGAGCTAGGTCTCCACGGTAACTGATGCTATCCTGGTCCAGGTCCTGCTCAGCGTCTCCCTTTAACTGGTTCCTGATGATGTTTTCTCTGTGAACCTGCTGATCTGTACGTTACTGAAACACTGAATGAAGCATCCTGTTGCCATGGAAACCTACATGTGCTCAGCTGCTGATGCTGAAATCACATCAACATGTCTCTGTGTTTACTCTGCTGGTCCTGCAGCTGATAGATCACTGATCAGAACATTGATCATCTGTTGGTGTTTGTCACAGAGAACATCCAATCAGGAGCATTGATTCACTCTGATTGGTTGTCATTAAAGTGACTTCCTGCCTTGTGGGACAGAGTCAGACCTAAACGAGCAGAGCTGCTGATGAACCAACCAATCAGAGCTCCTCTGAGCTCATGAACCAACCAATCAGAGCTCCTCTCAACTGACGAACCAACGGTGGGACTCACACTCGACGTTTCCAGGGTTCAGCGAATCAGATCCTTCGTCGCTTCTGTCTGAATGATCCGAGTCCTCCGAGTCGTCTGAATCCTCCGAGTCCTCGTCGTCGCTGCTGTCACCGTCGTCGCTGTTGCTGCCGAGAACATCTGCGTCCTGGAGGAGGGTGAAGAAGCGTCAGAGAAAACATCTGGACAACGTTCATGCAGTCGTTTATCTATTTTATCTTTGAGCTATCGTTCCCTGAACGTTATTTAAACGACATGGCAGCAGGAGGCCTCGTGCACAGCGTTGATCAGGAAGAGAACGACACCTGGAGGAAAACAGAACATCACAAACTAAAGGTAGTGAGAAGCAGCTGCTCTTCTCCTTTAGGTTCTTGAAGATGTTTCTGAAGGTCAGAGCTGAAGAAGGATCTTGGATGAAGGTGAAACATCTTCAGAACCTAAAAGAGTCCAGTTGGTTTTAACTGAAGCTCTGAAGATTAGAAATTCATTAAAACATTAACTAGAGCAACAAAAAATGACTAAAACCAAAAAACAAAAGCTGGACGCAAAATAAAATGTTGACAGCCGACGGTCAGGTACCGCGTCATTGGCCGGGGAGTTGGCTCCGCCCTCGTTGTCCTGCTCGTCGTTGTTGGTCAGCTCGTCCAGCAGCAGGTCAGCGTCCAGGTCGTCGTCATCGTCATCGTCCGTGTCCGACGAGTCGTCGTCGTCGTCCTGGTCCTCATCGTCCTGGAAGAAGAAGAAGACGATCAGAAACACGGCGGGTCGCTTGGTGAGGACCAGCAGCAGGTCCAGAGTCTCACCTGGTCGTCGTCGTCTCCCTCCTCGGCCAGCTTGTGGCGTCCCACCTCGTACAGACGGCACACCGTGTCCAGACTCACCGTGTCCTGGTTCTGCGCAGACGACATGTAAAGGTACGTTCAGGAACACGTCATGGAAAAGCAACCAAAGCTAAAAACAGCTCCTCCAGAACCTCCTCAGAACATCTGGTTCTGATTCTGCAGAACCTTTATCTACTGACCAGAGTTCTACCTTCAGACTGTGAATGTTCCAGAGTTCCACAGAGGAGGGTCCAGACTGATCACTTTAATGGACTTTTTCCTCAGAACTTCATCAGTACAAAGTTCTTCATCGTTGGACAAATGTTCTGTATGTTTTTAGATCTGTTTTTACTGATTTTAGAGACATCTGAAGCCATCTTGTAGTTCTTGTTTGTCTTCTTAGACATTTTTTTAAACCCATTGGACATTTTTTCGAGTCGTTCTGGAAAGATTTGAACTTTTAAGGCAGTTCTAGACGCATATTTGTCCTGTTGGACTATTCTAGAATCATTCTGGAGATATTTTAGGGCATTTTCAAAGTTCTGGACGAGCTTCATGTCATTTTTCATTATGTTAAACAAAGTTAAAGTCACTGAGGTGATTGATTTGTCATTTTGAACACATTTGAACAAGTAAATTCTGCACCACCTTCTGGGTCATTCTAAACATTTTAAGTCATTTTGTTCTTTTTATTGTGATTTTGGATGTTTTGTAAACCTCAGAACTTTGTTTTTGTCATTTAGGGGGAAAAAAAGGATCAATTCTGTTCAAGCTTGACGTCATTTTGTAAATATTTTCATAGTTTTGGACAAATGTTACGTCTTTTTGAGATTTCTTTTGTCATTTTAGAGAAATTTTAAGCCTGTTGTTTGTCCTTTTAGACATTTCTGAGTCCGTCTAGACAGATTTCAGGTCATTTGGACGTTTATTTGTCGTTTTTTTTAAGATTTTAAATACCTCTGGACCAGCTTTGTGTTGTTTTCAAAGTCATTTTAAATCATTTCAAGCAGATTTGTCATGTGTTTTGTCATTTTGGACTATTTTCTGAGTTATTCTGGACAACCTTGCTGCTGTTCTAACGTCTGAGTGAAGCTGTGAGGAACATTTAAAGTGAGAGTTTCATCACTCTGAGAGACTGATGTAGCAGCAGCGTCACGTGTCTGAATGAACTGAACATGAACACAGGTGAGGAGGAAGCTGAAACAGGAAGTACCTCTATGACGGCCAGGTAACAGTCCCTGGTGTCGGTGCACAGGTCAAAGATGTTCCTCTTCACATCCACCGTGGCTAAAAGACAAACATGGCGGTTAAGACCTGAAGCCAAGAGGAATAAATGTTCACTCTGGTACGTAAAAGGAATAAAAACACACTTTTCATTGGTCTTATAAACACAAAAAGGCCCAAACCAACAGTATCAGAACTAGAAGTCAGGAGAAAGTGACCTTCACCAGAACGCCGACGCTCCACCAAGTCTCAGAACATCCAGCCCGCTAGTTTCAGTACGATCAGAGAAGCAAACATTCAACAAACCAGGAGGCGCTGCCTACCGATGGGCTTGTAGTCTGTAGCGTCGAAGGTCCTGAAGGACGAGCCGAAGGGACTCTTCATCTGCTGGTCCATGGCATCGTCCTCGTCGTCGGCCTGCAGCACGGCTGGAGCAGCAGGGAGGGAACGTCAGAACAGTTCTACACAAACCTCTGTTATTCCTTCTTGTTTTTACAGAACAACCCGTCCCGTCTGAGTGTGAGCAGCCTCTAGCTCGACTGCTAACCAGGTGACGTCTAACAGGTGAGCTGGGAACCGCCTCTCCTCAGAACGATCGGACCCAAAGGCAGCTCAGATAGAAGTCAAAGGTCACGGTTTCTAATGCCGTATAGGTTTATGGTGTTGGTGCAGATGAGCCGCCATGTCGGGGCTTTCTGCTGCTGGCATCTGACCTTGGGTGACATTTCAAGGTCAAAGAATGCCGATACAGAGCTACTACAGTGATACGATATGTATTAAAATGATCATCTGGTAGCTTTTAGAGCAACCAGACGCTGAAGAAGACGGTTTGAGGCGACCAAACTGGACAACAGCCAAACAAGTCGACGGTTATTTAAACGTACAACGGGCCACGTTTACGCCTCTATCTGACGAAGAAGTGGCCGTCTCTGACAGAGGGTGGCCTCTATCGTCGGTTCCCTCTAATGGGACCATCACAATGTCACACAGGAGACCTGAGACCAGGAGCTCATCAGGAAAATGTTTTCTGAGGTCACAAACTAAGTGAGAAGTTCGGTCATTCTCTCACAGACTTCAATACAAATGGCCGGCGGAGGAGTCGCCCCCTGCTGGTTGTCGGAGAGAACGCAGGTTTTCCCCTTTACAGCTTCACATACAGTCTGCGGTAAGTAAGAGGCCAGTCCGTACCTCCGTACATAATGGTGGCGTTGCTGTTGAAGACCAGCCTGCACTGGTCCAGAGCAGGAACCGTGTGAAGGAGGTGGAAGGTCCTCAGGTCCCACTGACGCCTGCTGTCAAGGCCCAAAACGACACGACAACATGACGCAGACCCACAAGTCTTCACGCTCAGCGTTCATCATACATACAAGTCATGAAGAACTACAAGAATCATCTAACATCTGGATTCCTTCACAGAAACAATAAACATGCAGATGTTTGTGACATAAGCAGCTTCTTCCCTATAAGGTCAACACGGCTACAAAAGCAAAACTAAAATTGAGCTAAACCACCAGAGCAGAGGATACGATCTCCGTGTTGATGATGACCTCCAGCCCGTTGGGATGGAAGACGCCGCTCAGGTTCATGTTGAACTTGTCGAACTTGTGGATGGCCCTGGACGCCCGGACGTCCCACAGCACGCCGTCGCTCAGCACCAGGTCGTCGGTCGGGCTGAAGGTGGCGCAGTTCCTCTTGTAGTTGTTGGCCAGCGTGGGGTCGTTGAGCGTCAGCGTGTGCTGGCCCGTCTGGACGTCGTAGATCTGCAGCGGAAGACAAACGCCGTCCGTTTAATGAAGCATCAAACAAACTCAACATCCTGCTGCTCAAACGTCAGAAACACAAGAAACACAGTGATGCTGGGTTTCAGTTCCCTGTTTCTCACTGTGAATCAACACAGAAGATCCTGGAGCTGCTGTGTGAACTTTAACACTTTAAGTATTATTATTATTTTCATTTATTTAACTGGGGAAAGTGACTTCAAAGATCACTTCCCTCACAGCAGCATGAACCCGATCAGTCCGACTGATGCACATCTAGAACTGATTCAGTTTTTTACATGACAGAAATATATAGATTATTTATATATACTTAATCTGCTAAATGAGTTCAGGCTTAACAGGAACATCTGGACGTCTCTGATCTGTCTGGACGTACTAAACTGAAAACAGAAGTAATGAAACACGAGACCAGACAGAACCAGTGTTCTGAGAACTCCAGTCATGACTCAGCAGAACCTACATGTGCGACTTGTTCTTTGGTTCCGATGACTCGGTCCTGAGACAGTTTGCTGAACTCCACGTAGTGATCGTCCACAAACGAGTTCCTGAGGAGAGACACAGAATCAGAACCGGCGCCGGCCACCAACAGCAGCGTGATCAGAGCTGGTCTTACTTCATGCTGAAGACGCCGTCGATGCTCCACAGCGCCGAGTGCGGGACGCCCCACGAGGCCGAGGTCAGCAGCAGCTTCCCGTCCTGACCAACCAACACACAGGAAACTGTTACCACTCATCAGTTACTGTCTTTAATGAAGCTACCATACATTATTAGTTCTTCTTAATGAAACGATTTGACCAAACTTCAGCTCAAGAGAAGAACAGAAACCCATCAGCTCTCAGTGAAGTCAGACGGCAGCTTTGGGATCGTATTTCAGTTTGTTCCCTTTAAACCAGTAAATCAACTTAAAGCAGAAACCAGCTGTTGTTGAGAGTAGTAAAGCAGAATGAACAGACAGTGTTATAGCCTGTACATGACAGGGAGAAGGAAACATATGATGAAGATGAGTCGAGATAAACCTGGAGGAGTTCTGTTTGCCAGATATTACGTCTGAAACTAAATACCGTAACAAGAGAAAGGCAGGATTTAGCAGAAAAGCAACAAGCTGAGCTAATTAAAGTTAATTAAGTTTAGCTTAGTGGAGTTAAAATGAGATTAATCCCAAAGGAATTTATTTATTTGTTGCCAGATATCGCTCAAAAAACAGAAACTACACAACACAGGAAATGCAGTGTTTAGTAGAAAAGCAGTTAAGTTAAGTTAAGTTAAGTTAAGTTAAGTTAAGTTAAGTTAAGTTTGGGTAAGATAAGTCAAGTTCGGTTAGGTTAGGTTTGGTTAAGTTAGGTTAAGTTAAGTTAAGCTAAGTTAAGATAAGTTAAGTTTGGTTAAGTTAAAGATGGATAAGATGAGACTTTATTTATCCTGAAGGAAACTTTTCAGCCAGATATTGCTCAAAAACCTAAATTATATCACAAAAGAATAAATTTAGTAACTTAAATAAGCACGTTATACGTTACTGAAATTAAGAATAATTACGCTCCAATAAGACTAGAACAGAAAGAGCGACACTGGCGATGAAATACTGTCCACTAAATTCATATTTTGCACAAGTACTGCAATAATATTATATAGTAATAATTCTAATAATACCGCTGGAACTGTAACTGCTGCCTAAACATTAATTAGCCATGTTAATTGGCTGTTTCTTTATTTCTACATTCTACAGGCGAGCTACCCTGGAGGGCTCCAGGTGAGTGATGGCCGTGGTGTGGCAGGTGTAGTTGGCCTCCTCCTCGCCGGAGAACACGTTGTAGAACTTGAGTCGGCCCGACAGAGTTCCCAGCATGAGGAAGCGCTCGCGGGCCGAGAAGGCGCAGCAGGTGAAGCCGCTCTCGTCTCCGTCGCCTTCGTGGAACACCGACATCGGACGAAACCTCCGAGAAGGAAAACAGGGTCACAGCCTCGTCTGACTCCAACTCCTATAAAAACTACAAACATGGCGTCTCGGCGGTACCTGCTGAATATCAGGTGTCGGTCCAGGCTGCCCCGGTCCACGCCGCCGTACTTGGGGTACAGCACCCGGCTGCCCAGGCGGGCCGTGAAGTTCTGCGGAGCTTGACGCCGCTGCTTGGGCTCGGGGCAGCGGTGGGGCGTGAACAGGGAGAACGGGGGGCAGGTGGTGACCGGGTTGGGGCAGCGGGCGTGCTGCTCCCGCAGGTACTCGGTGATGATGCTGTCCAGGGTCGGGGGGGAGGGCAGGTGGCGCTCCAGCTGCTTCTTCATGGCTGGAGTCTGAAATAAAGCAGGTGGTGAGGTGAACATCTGGAACTGGTTCTGGTTGATGTGATGGTTGAATTAACTGTGTCGTGTTCATGTTGCTGCTGCAGAGAAGAACCCTGAACCTCAAGACTATCAGACTCTCTCATTGGTCGACTCCTGACCTGCAGCTCTGATGAGTCGGTCACTGACCTGTATGAAGGCTCCGTGGTCAGCCTTCTGCTTCAGTGCACACAGCTTTTTCCCTGAGTTGCTATTGGCCAGCTGGCGTTCCCGTGAGAACAGAATCCGACCAACCAGAGGCGAGCCCTGAGGGGGGGGAGGAGGAGGAGGAGGAGGAAGGAGGGCTGATGAAGGCGAAGGACTGACGAAGGACCGACACGACGAAGCCGACGCGGCGGCGGCGGACGACACGGGAGATGACCCCACGTGGCCGGCCACGCGAGCCGCGATGCCGCCGGCTAGCCGGCAGGTCCTGGTTAGCACCGGGGAGGGAGGGGGTGGAGTCACACAGGAGGCGGAGCTTGTGGCGAGGGGCAGGTTGGCCTCCCTGACCAACATGTTGGCGGTGCAGTGCAGCCCTTTGGCCAGCAGGTGGTTCCTGATCAGCATCAGCAGCTCGCGCTCGGAGAAGGTGATGCGGGACTGGGCGACCACGTTGGCCTTCTGCAGCCGGGCCAGCGACACGTCCGTCCCCATCAGCAGGGGCTTGCCGGA